AATAAATAAATAAATAAATAAATAAATAAATAAATAAATAAATAAATCTTTAAAAAATAATAATCATATCTGGTTGTTATTTTAAAAACAGAGTATATATTAAAAAGTAAAAATTGGGGGGCCTGGATGGCTCAGTGTGTTAAGCATCCAACTCTTGATTTCAGCTCAGGTTTTGATCGCAGGGTCCTGAGTTCAAGCCCCACTTTGGGCTCCATACTTGGCATAGAGCCTACTTAAAAAGAGGTAAAAATTTCCTGGGTGCCTGGCTGGCTCAAAGACCATGCAACTCTTGATCTCAGGGTCATAAATTCAAGTCCCATACTGGGTGTTGAGATTACTTAAATAAACTAATTTAAAAAAAAAAACCTAACAATTTCCCAAAACCCCAAAACACAGAGCTCATCATTATTAATATTCGGGGAACACCTTCTTGAACTTGATCTGTGTTACACAGAGATCACATAGAGATTTATGAATACAATCTTATGTATGTGGCTTCACACTACATATGCTGTTTTAACTTTAGTCACTCATTATGTTGTAAACATCTTTTTCTACCAATAAATATAGATCACTAGTATAATACCTAGTGGCTGTAAAATATTCAATTTTATGAAAATAGCCCAACATGCTTCAAAATCTCCATCATGAGTATTTGTTTCCAGAGCCTCCCTGTTATAAATAACCCTTTAGAGAAAATAACAACTTTGTATATTTTCAGTCATGTGAAAATATCATAGAGGTTTTTTGGAAAGGAGAACTGCAACTAAAAAGTTAAATAAAACAAAGAAGGCATAGGTTAAAATTTCAGAGCTAACAAATAAATTAATCTGAAATTATACAGAAAATAGTAAAATATTATTCTATTTTTATTATTATTCCATTAATAGTCTGTTGTTCTGTTCCTTTCCCCTCAAATAAAAATCCTTAATTAGAGAGTGGCTTACTTCAACTTGAGGCAGTCTGATCAGCTGACACACAATGTTTTTGACAGAAAGAACCATGAGGAAGTGAAAGTTCTTAGTCCCTCATAGCCAAGAAAAGAAAAAATATATACAGCAAGAATCATCAGTGACTCTCCTCAGCAAAAAAGAATGACTCCAAGTAATGGAATAAAGACTTTGGTTCCTGACATCTATATTTTCTTTGCAACAGACTAGAGCAGATTTAGCAATAAACACTTAGAGGCAGATTAGGAACTAGAATGCCATTACATATAAGAGACTGTACCTTTGGAAACCTGAAACACTCTTCAGTTCCTAAAAAAGCTTCTTCACAGTTATCTAGTGGTGAGAATTATTGAGCTATACCCATGAAGCAATAAGTAAGACTGAAGTAATCAGTCAAAAAGAAAAGTCCTAATTTGTCTTGCTGGAGAAGGAGAACATATTAGATTTTCCCCATTCCAGGTCTTTTAAAATATAAACAAACAAACAAACTTCCTGAGCTAAGAGCTGATAAAGCACCACACCACGTTTCTTTCTCCTCACAGAAAGTAGCAGGGGATGGTCCCATCTCTGAAAGATTGGAATTACCTTGATTAATAAATTTGAAAAATAGAACCGAGTGGTGAATTTTAGAGAGTACAAGCGCAATGGTTTGGCAGGAAAAAATACAACTGCTGAAAAAGAAGGAGGAGGAAGTGGAGGGAGAGAGGGAGATGGAGTAGGAAGTGTGGAATGGTGGTGGACATAGAGGTGGAGGAGGAGGAGGTGAAGAAAGAGAAAGAATAGAGGAGGAAGAAGAAATGAAAGAGGAAGAAGATTATTCTTCTTTTAGGACCACCAGACACTCTATTTTTTCACTTCCAAGTGAATGCCTCTTTACAAGTTATCATTTTGGCTTTTGACCCAACCAACCCCTAAGCAAACATAACACATAGCATATAACCTACTTCCCTCAGCCATCTCAGCCATTTTTTGCCGATAATTAGAAAAATTAAAATGTATAAAATGTATAAATTAAACTGGTAGAAGCTCAAAGAGTATTACATTTTTAAAAGTCCATATTTTAGGGGCGCCTGGGTGGCTCAGTCGTTAAGCGTCTGCCTTCGGCTCAGGTCATGATCCCAGGGTCCTGGGATCGAGCCCCACATAGGGCTCCCTGCTCAGCGGGGAGTCTTCTTCTCCCTCCCCAGCTCCCCCTGCTTGTGTTCCCTCTCTCGCTGTGTCTCTCTCTGTCAAATAAATAAATAAAATCTTTTTAAAAAATAAATAAATAAAAGTCCATATTTTAGGAGCGCCTGGGTGGCTCAGTTGGCTGAGCATCCAACTCTTGGTTTTGGCTTAGGTTGTGATCTCAGGGTCGTGAGCCCACATCAGGCTCTGCACTCAGTAGGGAGTCTGCTTAAGATTCCCTCTCCCTCTGCCCCTCTTCCCCACTCACGCTAAATAAATAAATAAATAAAATATTTTTAAAAATAGAAGTCCACATGTTAGGGAAAAATACAAAAATAACAAAAATTCTGGTCTGTTACCAGTTTGCTTTCTGAACTTAAACTTACGACGTAACATCTGTCTTTTCTGTTTTATAAGGATAAGATAGTTCCTAGCTGTTGTGATGGCAAAATGAGATATATCTGTATTAAAAGTATTACATAAATATGAGCGTTAACAAGTATTTGTTGAGCAACTCCTATATGTTGGGTACTGAGGATCACTTTAATAGCTAACTATGGTTTGTTTACTACACTTCAGGCTCTAATAAATCATTCAAGAGCATGAGGCAGTCCTACCATCTGATAAAAAATATTAATACCTTAGCTAGATGAAACATGCCTTGAAGCCATCTGCAGCCCATTCCACTAGAAATGGGGGTTTGGCTAAAGGAGTCAGTTCCAAGATTGTCTCAGTTTCTAGTCTTTTCATGGTTATAGAAAAGGCAGAGGGAATCTAGTTCAGACTTGACTACAACCTACTGAGACATGGCAACATGCCAGAAGTCTCAAAACCCTCAATGAATTTGCTAGATGAAATGGTTCATAACTTCCCACATTCTACCATTAACTTTACTACAGAGCCCACATGTTAGAAATCAAAACCCCACTTCTACCTAGGGGATTCATACGTTATCGATATAGTATAGTATTGGTATTATTAGTAACATGTATGCCTGCAGAATTTTAGTAACTATTACAAAAAGCCAATATACCAGCTAGAAAACTTCCGTATCTCATGTATTGAAAACAACTGCTCTAGATTTTTAGAAACAGCAGAGTCTATAGTGAGGATATATGTTCCACTCATATACACATGGACCATGAAGCTTCACATGGGGAACAAACTGTTACTGAAACATAAAAGACAAATTTCAAGATTACTATATGCCATAACACTCCATTCAAAGAGAAATTCCATCTCTGGCCCTGAAAAGATGAGAAACTTTATTAAAACTATGAAAATAATATAAATACTATAATCTTAACCAAAACTAGTATTTCAAAAGTTAAAGTTTTGTGCAAAAAACAGAATCAGACCTATAAATACAGAGAGAAGGGAGGCGGGGGAGATGGGCAAAATGAGTAAAGAGGAATGGGAGAGACAGGCTTCCAGTTGTGGAGTGAAAAAGTCACAATCATAAAAGACAGCATAGGGAATATAGTCAATGACACTGTAAGAGCACTGTATGGTGACAGATGGTGAGCACAGCATAACATATAGAGAAGTTGAGTCACTATGTTGTGCACCTGCAACTAATGTAACATTGTGTGTCAACTATACTGAAATTTAAAAAAATCCTTTTAAGTTAAAGTTGTGTGACAACGGAACATCTTGGTGCCCAAAACAAGATAATATAATTAGACAGGTTCATCTGGAAAAAAGAATTATGTGTTCTCAAATAGAACAGATTTTTAACTGGTTAATATAAAGAAAACCAAGATGGAACCTTCCCCCATACTATCTTCATCATTTCTGTCTATATAAATAAATAGTCATTCTACTTATTGACCTTATGGTGGCACAGGAATCAAGTTAAGAGATAAAACAGCAATAATAGTAAACTCAGTTTGTTTCAATAATTATCTCAAAATAGTTTAATGTGGGTTTTATAAATAAAGGTACACACTTTCAAACAATCACAAATAGGGATAATGGGTACTGTAGACATATTATAGATTATGATTATTGCTGCATCTATGTCTCCTTGATTAGCTACAAGAAGTTTAAAAGGCTTTTTACTTGATCATAGAACACCATACCCTTCAAATCATATTTGATCTTACAATCTGAAATTTAAAATTTCTATTATCAAGCTTTATAAAATCATCACTACCAATTTCATAGAAAAAAAGACTACAAACCTTCTGTATTTTTCATATTAGCTAGCATTACCTTAAAAAAAATGTTATTTCATACCTTTACAAAATCTAAGTAGTCGGTGTTGGTTCTTTCCCCACCAAGTCTAACAGGGATTAGAATAATAACAGCTTTGTCATCTATATTATCAGAGGCCATGGAAGTGCACTGCTTATCAATTACATCAGAACTGTAAACTGAGAAAAATACAATAAATATGTATTAAATTTTATAAAAATGATTTTCAGAAATATTTTTACTCTAATCCCTCCTCCCCAATAGCCAGTCATCTAATCTCTGATATCACTATCAAGGTCTCAATGAATTAAAAAATGTCTACCTCGTTTATACATTCAGCAGGTACTTACTGAGTAGCTACTATATGGCATTAAGGGTTTCACCAGTGAGCAAAATAGAGGAAAACCCTGTCCTCATAGATCATATGCTCTAATATAAGGAAATAGACAGTAAATTCATAAAATATAAAATATGTCAGATGGTTGGGGCGCCTGGGTGGCTCAGCTGGTTAAGCATCTGCCTTCGGCTTAGGTCATGATCCCAGGATGCTGGGATCAAGCCCCACGTCCAGGGAGTTTGCTTCTCCCTCTTCCTCTGCCACTCCCTTCCACTTGTGTGAGCTCTCTCTCACTCAAATAAATAAAATCTTAAAAAAAGATGTCAGATGGTGATGAGTGCTTTGAAGAAAAAGGGAGAAAGATGGCTAGGAAATGTAGGCGTGAGGGGGTGGGAGTTAAAATAAGGTGGTAAGGAGGGCCTTATGAAAAACATAACATTTAAGTCAAGACAAAGTAAGAAACCAAGAAATGCCAAAACTTGGGGGAAGAGCATTCCAGGTATAAAGATCAGTCAATGCAAATGCCTTAAGGCAGAGTCGTAGCCAGCATATTCCACGAACAAGAGGCCTGTGTTTCTGGAGGGAAGTTGGCAAGGGGTAAAATAATACGAAATAAGGTTAGGAGATAAAGTAAAACACTGGGGGAGAATGAAGACAGATTCTGTGAACTTTTTTTTTTTTTAAGATTTTATCTATTTATTTGAGAGAGAGCATGAGTGAGGGTGAGGGGCAGAGGGAGAGAGACAAGCAGACTTCCCACTGAGCAGGGAGCCCAATGTGGGGCTCAATCCCAGGACCCTGGGATCACGACCTGAGCCAAAGGCAGATGCTTACCCGTCTGAGCCAGCCAGGCGCACCAGATTGCATGAACTCTTAAAGGCCATTTTGAAAGACTGCAGTTTTTACTTTGAGTGAGATAGCATGCTACTGAAGAGTTTTTTAGAAAAGGAATGTCCTAATCTGACTTACACTTTACTAGTGTGGTTCCTGTGTTGATAACAGACTGTAGGGGCAAGGGCTGAAGAACAGAGAACAGTTAGAAAAGAGGGCGCCTGGGTGGCTCAGTCAGTTAAGCATCCAACTCTTGATTTCAGCTCAGGTCATGATATATAGGGTCCTGAGATTAAGCCCTGCATCAGGTTCCACATTCAGTGGGAAGTTTGCTTCAGAGTCTCTCTCTGCCTCTCCCTCTGTCCCTCCCCCTGCTCACCACACTCACATGCTCTCTCTCTCTGTCTCTCTCAAATAAATAAATGGAAGGAAGGAAGGAAGGAAGGAAGGAAGGAAGGAAGGAAGGAAGGAAGGAAAGTAGCCACAGTAATCTAACAAGAGATGCTAGTAGCTTGAACAAGGGCAGGAATTGTGAAGATAGGGAACAGTCATGGGATGGTCATGTGGAGCTGGTTAAAAGTGATCAGTAAGTTAAAGAACTCCTTAATATGTTAAATGCAAGATGGGAGAAGAAAAAAAGGAAGTCATAGGTGATTGAATGGCTTTGGTCTAAGTAAACAGAGTAAGAGACATACCATTTACAAAGACATACTATAGACAACTATAGGAGGGGAAAGAGTAGGAGAATTGGGGATTCAGTTTTAGACATGGTAAGTGTCAGATATCTATTAAACATGCAAGCGGGGAGGATGAGTAGACAGTTAAGGATATAAAAGCCTGGATTTGGTGAGAGGCCCTATACATTTGGGAGTTGACAGCGTATAGATGGTCCTGTAAAGCCATGAGACCAGGTGAATTCAAATCTGTGTACAAGAGAGGAGGTCTAAAGGCCGAGTGCAATTTTAGAGATCAGTGAGATAAGGAAAAGCAGCGAAGAACACTGTGAAGGAGTGTGCACTGTAGAAGGAAACCTGAAAAGTCGCACTCTAGAAATCAAGTAAACAAAACATCACAAGGAGGAAAAAGTGGTCGACTGTGTGAAATGCTGCTAGTAGATTGTGTGATGTGAGGACTGAGAAGTGACCACTGGATTTTTAGCAAGATTAAATTATTGATAAGAGCAGTTTGGGTAGAGTGAGGGGTGTGACAGCCTAAGTAAAATACTTCAAGAGAAAATGGGAGGATTTGTAGAACCAAATATAGACAAAACTTTATTTTGTTTTGTTCAACAACAAAAAAGCTTTCTTCAAACTCCCTGTTTGAAGAAAAACAAACTCTTCTACTCTTGTACAGTTAGCTGATTAACAAATTCTGCTACTTGTGCCCCACTTCTCCCCTTTAAATTCCAAATTTAGGTTATGAACTATCAAATTCTTCCGTTTATCAGCTTCCCTATCTCCCATAATCAATCTAAACCAAAGGTACAAAAATGCAACCATAGTTCTTTCCATGTTTCAATTCTATCATCTTACTTTTTCCAAACTACTCAGTAATGGATTCTAATTATAAACCTTTAAATTCTCTAATTTTTCTGAGGCAGCACACACATGACCATCCCTATCTCTGACTCTTCTGACCTAATAGATACTTGAATCAAATGAGCCTTCCCTTCAGAAAACAGATTGCTGGTTTCCAGAGGCAGGGGGTGGGGAAGAGGGGGGAAGTGGGTAAAGGGGGTCAAAAGATACAAACTTCCAGCTACAAAATAAATAAGTCATGAGAATGTAACATACAGCATGGGGACTACAGTTCATAATATTATGTTGTTATATTTGAAAGTTGCTAAGGGGACACCTGGGTGGCTCAACTGGTTGGGCGTCTGCCTTCGGTCTCAGGTTTCAGGTGGTGATCCTGGGCTCCTGGAATCAAGCCCCATATCTGGCTCCCTGCTCAGCATAGAGTCTACTTCTCCCTCTCCCTCTGCCCCTCCGATTTGTGCTCGCTCTCTCTCACAAATAAATAAAATATTTTTTTAGAAGTTGCTACAAGAGTAGATCTTAAAAGTTTTTATCACAAAAAAATGATTTTTGTGACTATGTATGGTGACAGATGTTAATCAGACTTACTGTGGTGATCATTTCACAATATATACAAATATTAAGTCATTATATTGTACACCTGAAACTAATATGTCATATGCCAATTAAATCTAAATAAAAAAGTATAACCAAATAACCAGATAAAAATTAGAATTATATACATTCCTCACCTGTACAGTCTTGTGCAACATAAATAGTTATTCCTTGTAAATCAGGGTGTCTTGCTTCTTCAACTGCTTTTCTAAAAAAACAACATGTATCATCCTTTAAAAGCCTAACATTTCCAGTTAATAATTAAAGATTTAAGGGGAGGGGCGCCTGGGTGGCTCAGTCGTTAAGCGTCTGCCTTCAGCTCAGGTCATGATCCCAGAGTCCTGGGATCGAGCCCCGCATCAGGCTCCCTGCTCCACGGGAAACCTGCTTCTCCCTCCCCCTCTGCCTGCTGCTCCCCCTGCTTGTGTTTGCTCGCTCTCTCTCTGCCAAATAAATAAATAAAATCTTTTTAAAAAATAAATAAATTACTCAAAGAACATTAAACCATAAGTTACAGGGTGGCTGGGTAGCTCAGCTGGTTAAGCCTTGGACTCAATTTCGGCTCAGGTCATGATCTCAGGGTCATGAGATCAAGCCCCAGATGTGCTGCATGCTCAGCGGGGAGTCTGCTGGAGATTTTTTTCTCTCTCTCTCTCCCTCTGCCTCTCCCCTCCTCCCGCTCACTCTCTCTCAAATAAATAAATGTTTAAAATAAATAAATAAATAAATAAATAAATGCATGACTTTTTTTCCCTTCACTCAAAAACCTATGTAACCTGAACAAATGAATTTCCTAATTTTGAGTCTTAGAATTCTGTAAGTAAACTGCAAGTTGAAAAATATTTCTCAATGAATATAATGTTCTTGATGGTGCACATGATTTGAAAAAAGTCACAATATCTGTAAAAAGAAATTACACAAATTGGAGAAATAGAAATATCTTTATTTAACTGTATCTTTATAATTTTTTAATTTTACATAACTTATTATTTATGTTTGTATGTGTTAATTTAGAAGAGGGATTGGCAAACTATTTGGCCCATAGGCCAAATACAACCTGTGGCCTATTTTTGTACAACCTGCAAGCTAAGAATGGCTTTTATAGTTTTGAAGGGTTGTAAAACAAAAAAAGAAAAGAAAAATGGTCAACAGAGCTCTTTACAGTCTGTAAAGCCTAAAATATTTACCATGAGGCCTTTTACAGAAAAAGTGTTCTGATCCCTGGGGTATAGAACATAATATCTTGAAGAGTAGAAACTAAGTTTTATAATTATGCTTTTATAAATATCATACCAAGCAAGACTTGATATTATTATTAACAATCCATTTAATAACATTAGACAAATACATTTCCATTTGTAAGCATCTGGCCTATAAAATATAAAAGCCAGCTAATATGCAAAAAAATGTATAATAATTTCTAATTTATATATTATTTTAAATAGAGTAAACTTACTATAACATACTATATTTGGGTGACATATTAATGATTCCATTTACAACAATGGGACACACAACAAATAAGACAATTTTTTTTTTTTAAATTAAGCAGTATCCAAATGGCACATAAAAGGCTGAGGTACAGTGAAATTTGACTTTCGACTTTTTTCTAACTACTCTGAATGTCACAGACCCTTTACTTTTACTATGATATAATTATAATATTAATAGTCCCATACATTTACAATTCACAAGAATCTGATGTGTGCAAAGAAATGCTGAAAACATCAATTTTAGCTCTTGACATTTCATTACACTATCAGTACATTACAGCCCCCAGGTTACACTATTAAAAAAAAAACCTATAATGTTATGCATGTTCCAAGGTTGAAAGAGTTGTTAGTTTTTAGAACATTCCAATAAGGTAGTCTAATGAAAACCTGGTTAGAAAGGGACCCTAGATATCTATCCCCATGAACAAAAGAGGAAAAATTTGTCACAGATATATTAAATGTAACTAGAGTTGCAATGTCTTGTTTTTTCCTTATTAGCAAATGAATTCTTCCTTATGAATATTCTCAAACAGTAAGACTTTAAAAGTTCCAATTATATATATGCACTGCAAAAATCAGTATCTCTGAGCCTAAGGACCTCTGTCATAAGATGAAAGATTTTAATACAATTTTACCTTAAAATATGAGCAACCACAGCTGGTCCATACCAATCTCCAGCTTTTTTCCCAGACTTCTTTCCATATTCTATTAGTTGATGTAAACCAAAGAGAGCCAAAGGGGAATCACCAAACCAAGAGATGATTTTCCTGTGATAAATTTCATTTCGCATTTCATGATCATCAGAATATCTCCTGATTGTTTTCTTCTGAGAAACTGTTGGGGTTTTGAGTTCTCTTTCCCCTGAAAGTGATGCTTCAAATGATGCAGTAAATTTTTTTACAGTGTTGGAAGTCCATGATTCAGAGTCTGAATTTTCAATGTTCAAAGCATCAGGCCAGGTCCAAGCTAAAGTAGTTCCAAAGCAAGGTGTTCAGATCTTTTAATAGATTTTAACAATTCTACTAAAATAAGTAGATAGCATTTAAAGTCATACAGGTTACTAAACTAAAATAGTAAACTCAGAAGTAGGCAAATTTACAGAGACAGAAAGTAGATTAATGGTTGCATATGGCAAGTAGGGTATTGGGAGTGACTGCCAAAGGTATGAGGTTTCTTTTGGGGATGATGAAAATGTCCTAAAATTAGGTGATGGTGATGGTTGCAGAAGCCTGGAAGCATACCAAAACCACTGAATTGTTTACTTTAAATGAGTGAATTTATGTTATGTAAATTATATCTCAATAAAGCTTTGAGATAAAATTTAAAAAATAATATTGAGAAATAATTTTTAAAAAATAGTAAACTCAGGTACAAATAAACAACTCCGGAAAATGCTTTTCTTTCTTTTCTTTTCTTTTGACAGTGCTGAAATGGAATGAGGACTTCTGTACTCCCTTACCAGTACTATTTATCAGACATCCAATCTTGACTACCCAAACGCACAATAAACATATTTACTAACATTAATGAGAGAATAACTTCAGAAAGTAGATTTTAATTTGACTATATGTTAAAATAGAAGTCTTAACCATGGAAATTTTAAATTTCTTTTCTTTGTCCTTTTCTCAATCTTTTCAAAATAATCATTGTTTAGGGAGTAATATCAATTCTCTAATAAATGAAAAGTTAATAAATAGGAGTCATTAAAGATCAAACATACCCCCAAAACCAACTATATTCACTACTTCAGTTTTTATGACAAGACAGTTCCAAGCACACATATAACTTTAAGTTAACAAAATGAATCATAGATTCAGAGAACTAGTTAGGACTATAAAAAATATCCCAATTCTTGCCCGTGATTGCACAAGACTACAAATAAATCATCCCAAAGTTTAAAAATTCTTTTTCTTTGTATTATCCATACCACTCTTGAATAAACATTCTCTCTAAATAATTTCATCAATAAACCCTACAGAAAGGTTACCAAATATTTGCCATGCATTGCAGGGAAATTATCTAACACTTTAAAAATATGATAATACTTAGTAATAACCATATATGATAGCCTAAAATACTAAACTAAAATCTCCCTACAAATGTACAAATTATTAAAAATGGTAAGAAAGGTTTTTCTTTTTTAAAAATAGATAAATGTAGGCACCTGGGTGGCTCAGTTGGTTAAGTGACTGCCTTCGGCTTGGGTCATGATCTCAGGGTCCTGGGATCAAGCCCCACATCGGGCTCCCTGCTTGGCGGGAAGCCTGCTTCTCCCTCTCCCACTCCCCCTGCTTGTGTTCCCTCTCTCACTGTCTCTCTCTCTTCAAATAAATAAAATCTTTTTAAAAAATTAAAAATAAAAAAAAATAAAAATAGATATATGTAAGAAGTATCAATATTTTTGAGAGTCTTAAAAGACTAAGCATGATAACCTTATTAAGAATATGCCTAGGGCGCCTGGGTGGCTCAGTTGGTTAAGTGACTGCCTTCGGCTCAGGTCATGATCCTGGAGTCCCGGGATCGAGTCCCACATCGGGCTCCCTACTCAGCAGGGAGTCTGCTTCTCCCTCTGACCCTCTTCCCTCTCGTGCTCTCTATTTCTCATTCTCTCTCTCTCAAATAAATAAATAAAATCTTTAAAAAAAAAAAAAAGGAATATGCCTAATCAAGGGGCTCCTGGGTGGCTCAGTCATTAAGCGTCTGCCTTTGGCTCAGGTCGTGATCCTAAGGTCCTGGGATCGAGCCCCACATCAGGCTCCCTGCTCCGCGGGAAGCCTGCTTCTCCCTCTCCCACTCCCCCTGCTTGTGTTCCCTCTTTCGCTGTGTCTCTCTCTGTCAAATAAATAAATAAAATCTTAAAAAAAAAAAAGAATATGCCTAATTAAGTTAACTGATTATAATCATATTTGTAAAGATAAAAACATTTTAAAGCATTATTGATATATAGAGAGAAAATAAAGAAACCGGTTTAAATTTCTTAAGATTTAAATAATATAAAAATATCAACTATCTGCTCAAAGTCACTGCTATTGACCTGCTCAAGATTTACTGAACTGGAGATAATCCAGATAATTCAATCAAAAAGAACTAAATAACAACAACAACAACAACAAAAATCCAAAGGCTACTAAAAACTTATACTTACATGTAAGTCATATCTAGCCTAGTTCAATAAAGATGGAATATGCTAGATTAGTTACAACTTTTAGAAGACATCAGGAAGCCAAGAAATTAACCATAAGAAATTTTACACAGTTTGCAAGCTGGAGTTCAAATTTAAAAAAAACAAGCAGGTTGCACCTGGGTGGCTCAGTCAGTTAAGCCTCTGACTCTTGATTTTGGCTTAGGTCATGATCTCAGGGTTCTAAGATTGAGCCCCACGGCAGGCTCTGCACTGTGTATGGAACCTGCTTAAGATTCTCTCTCTTCCTCTCTCTCTGTCCCTGCCCCCCAAAACAAAGAACAAAACAAAAATCCCCCCAAAAACAGAGATTTGGTTTACCTCTACCAAGAAAGTGTAGTACGAGTCCTTGAGCCAATAGCATCTGGCCAGTTCTTAATGTACAGCCCCAACCACAGTCTGTTGTCAAAGCCGAGCCTTCTATTTGAGGAAATTCTTCCCTGTAGGTCAACCATATTCTTGAAATGAAATCTTTACGAAATTCTTCTACATTTCCTGCAATTACATGATCTTCTATTGTACATCCTGATCTTGCAGGTAACAGTGTATTTTCATCTACAAAATAAAAATATAAACAAACTATAGTCTAAATATATGCAAAGAAACGTCAATAATGGTATTATGTTCCCATTACTGTCCATAAGATATGGAGTATATTATAATTTTTCTAACACTTTTTTTCAATTTAAATGAAGATAAATGTTATTCTGCCTAATCAGGCTATTATAAAAATCAAATAAGAATGGATGCTGAAATGTTTTGTACACTCTTGAACTAGCTAATAAAAGGTTTCATCAGTAATACTGTTAATAATAATATCCTATATTCCAAATATAATCAACTCTTTTATGAGGGGATAATATAAAAATACCTTTTCTTTTTGCCTCATTTGGCTCAGAATATACATATTAGTGCTCTCTAAAATGAGGTTTGCAAATAAAATATGATTTGTCAATACATAAAACTGAACGTAATCACATAAACTAGTTCTAAAAATCAAATAAAATGTGCACATTGTATTTATTGTCATGAATATTTATACTCAAATTATAAAATCAAAACTAAGAAGCTAAAGAGTAAGAATATAAAATTCCTAAACATATAGTTACCCTTTCATGCTGAATATTTTTTTTAAAACTCCTCCCACCCACATATATCATTTTAAAAAGCTTTTTCAAATTGATTATCTGTAATACAATTTCTATGTGAAAATTGTGGTCACTGTTTTCCCAATAATTTACAAAATACTGGGGCTCAAATGAACTAACATTCCTTGATTACTCTCTCAAAATGAACGGACATTGCTTGATTACTCCTAGAGAAAATATCTTAGTCACCTTTACAACCTCAGCATATAGCAGAGTGGCTAAAACAAGTAGATCCTAATAAATGTTGCTTGGTTTGGGTGGGTGGACAGGTGGATAGATAAATCTGCCTACAACTTTCAATTCCAAGGAGTTCAATTTCCAATGCCCTTCTGCAGGATGTTAAGGCAGTTTTATCATGCTTTTATTCTTTATCCTTGCTGCACCTATCCTTCTTCAAGTTCATTCTGAAAAAATTACAATCACCTAAACTTCATAATATTCAGCTTAATGGAGCTAACTTGTGGCATACAGTTTCAATGACAATAAAAAGAATGACTGCCGAGCCCCCATTATCAATGAATTTCTCTCAATATTTGAAGTTAATTACAAATAAAAATGCCTAGAAATTGAACATGGCCCTACAAATATGTCCAAAATTTCTACTATAGAGACATTTAAATTTGTCTGAAATTTGATACAATAGTACATAACTCTCGCACCTCATCCTATGGCTTGCCGAACATATAGTTCCTAATCTCCTACCTTGACAAAGTGATTAATTCTTTATCCTTTTAAGATCTAGTCTCTAAAATTACTCTAAATTTACTCTAAATGTTTACTCTAAATTTACTCCAAATATAAAATTTACCGGGACCTGGGTGGCTCAGTTGGTTAAGCCTCTGACTCTTGATTTTGGCTCAAGTCATGATCTCATGATGGACCCTGCATTGGGCTCTGGGCTGGGTGTGGAGCCTGCTTAGGATTCAATCTCTCCCTCTGCCCCTCCCCCCCCAAAAATTTACTCTAAATATTATTGGAAAATTGCTAGTACTAAATGAACTTCATTGTCCTCTTGACTTTCCACTATAATAATACAGCCCCTGCTATCCCATTCTTTGACTGACTTTTCTTTTCACAATCTTAATTATATCTATAATATTTATCTACATCTGCCTCCCTTCCAAACCTCAAGTACACTAGAAGAGAAGGAATGTTTTCTTCTGCATCCCTAAAGCTCCAGCACTTAGCACAGAGTTCATTCAGTTCATAGTAGATGTGCAATAAACAGTTGTCAGGTGAATGTAAGATAAATGGAACCAAAGGAAGAGGGGTTTTTAAATCTTTGTTTTGCTTTGCTTTTGTTTTTTATGATGGGAGAGATGTGAGATCAGAGCTTTACGAAGCATGGGAAGTCACAAAGAACCACAACAAAGAATAAAATGAAAGCTGATAAAGGAAACAGAAGAGAACTGCTATTAACATTGAGGGTTCAATCAAGGCTGACTATCACAAACAAGCTAATATGGGAAGTAATTATAAGTAAACAAATTATAAAATGAGCCCTCAAAGACTACAGCTCTTGTAATTATCAGATACAGGATAAAGTAAGTATGCATATGTTTAAAAAATAGAAGGGTATTGAAAGTTAGACAAATAACAAAAAAACAGACTATTAAAATTGATCAGGCACATAGAAAAGAAAACCAAATTGAACTGCTAGAAATGAAAAATATAATAACTAAAAATAGAAATTTGGTGTAAGATCAAACAGAAAATTATATACCACTTAGGAGATACTTTAAAAGCTAAAGAAATTACTCAGAATACAGCACAGAGAGGCAAAGTAATAGAATATGTGAAAAACCAAAGAATTTCAGAGACACAAAAAAAAATTTAACAAAGATTTATCAGAGATGCTGGAAAGAATGGGAAGAATGGGGAACAGATATAAATTAAAAGTGGTTGAAAATATTTCAGATTTTAAGAAAGATATGAATTCCAAGGAGAGGAAAATAAAGTTCACACAAAAGATAAAGAAATGATCTGAAAAACAACCAGAGAGGGGTGCCTGGGTGGCTCAATCATTAAGTATCTGCCTTCAGCTCAGGTCATGGTCCCAGGGTCCTGGGATGGAGCCCAGCATCGGGCTCCCTGCTCAGCAGGAAGCCTGCTTCTCCCTCTCCAACTCCCTCTGCTTGTGTTCCCTCTCTCACTGTGTCTCTCTCTGTCAAATAAATAAATAAAATCTTAAAAAAAAAAAAAACAACCAGAGAGAACAAAGAAATGACAGCTTCAAAATACTAGAGAGAACATCTTGTCCTAAACTAAGCAAGGATTTATTAAACAGAACACATAGTAGTAACTATTTAAGGAGGTAAAATAGTTAACCAGACTATATTAAAATTAAGCACTACTGTTCTTCCAAAGATAACATTAAATGAGTGAAAAAAAAACCAATAGATTAGAAGACATTTCCTATAGATATATTCAAAAAAGGATTCATATCTAGAATATATAAAGAAAACTTAGGAATGAATCAATAAGAAAAAGATAATCTAATAGAAGACATATCCAAATGGAAAAATGTTTATGAAAATATGCTCATTCCATTAGTTATCAGAGAAATGCAAATTAAAATCAAAATGTAGGGGCACCTGGGTGGCTCAGTCATTGAGCATCTGCCTTTTGCTCAGGTCAGGATCCCAATCGAGCCCCACATCAGGTTCCCTGCTCCGTGGGAAGCCTGCTTCTCCCTCTCCCACTCCCCCTGCTGTGTTCCCTCTCTCGCTGTGTCTGTCTCTGTCAAATAAATAAACTCTTAAAAAACATAAAATCAAAATGTAGCTCTAATAAAAAAGAAAAATATCAAGTAATGGTGACATAAGAGCAAGCAGAATTACTACACACACCTAGTAGGAATACCAATTGGCACATCTACTATATAAAACCTATTGAGGCTGACCATATGAATACCCTATGATCCAGCAATTACTTTCCCAGGTATACAGACTGAATGAAAATCCATACACATGTTCATTCACCAAAGCACATGTACTAAAATATTCATAGCAGCACTCTTAACAATTGCCAAAAATTGAAAATTACCCAAATGCCCCTGAAGAGTAAAACAGGTAAAGTTTGACACGTGCACACAATGCAATACTGGAGGGAATACAAAAATATCCAGCACCCAACAAGGCAAATAATACAGTGTCTGGCAATCAATCAAGGATTACTCAGCATGCAAAGAGACAGGAAAACACAAGCCAAAATGAGAATACTCAATCAATAAAAACTGAACCAGAACTAATACAAATGTTAGAATTGGCAAACAAGGACATTAAAAAAGTTATTACAACTATTTTATATATGTTCCAAAAGGTAACTAGAGAAAAGGAAGACAAAAAAAAAATGGAACTTCTAGATATATGAACTACAATGTCCAAGATGAAAAATATATGAATGGGATTCAAGGCAGATTAGACATTGCTAAGGAAAAGACTGAAAGACTGGTGAACTTGAGGACAGGCAATAAGAACGATCCAAAATAAAACACAGAGAGGAAAAATAATTTTTTAAAAATAAAGGACCAGCAGGAACGCCTGGGAGGCTCAGTCAGTTAAGGGTCCAACTCTTGATTTCGGCTCAGGTCATGTTCTCAGGGTCATGGGATCAAGTCCCGTTGGGCTCTGTGCTCATAACTGAGTCGGCTTGAGATTCTCTCTCTCCTTCTCCCTCTTCCCCTCCCCCCACTTGCACTCTCTCTCTAAAATAAATAAAGTCTTTTTTAAAAATAAAATAAATGGGGTGCCTGGGTGGCTCAGTCGTTAAGCGTCTGCCTTCAGCTCAGGTCATGATTCCAGGGTCCTGGGATCGAGCCCCACATCGGGCTCTCTGCTCCGCGGGAAGACTGCTTCTCCCACTCCCACTCCCCCTGCTTGTGTTCCTGCTCTTGCTGTGTCTCTCTCTATCAAATAAATAAATAAAAATCTTAAAAAATAAATAAATAAATACATACATACATACATACATACATACATACATAAAATAAACTACCATCAGTGAGCTGTGGCAGAATTTCACCAATGAAAATATATGTATAATTGGAGACCCAGGAGAAAGAAAGGGAAGGAAAGAAAAAATATTTGAAGACAAAATGACTGAAAAAATTTCAAATTTGAGGGGCACCTGGGTGGCTCAGTCAGTTAAGCATCTGCTTTCAGGTCAGGTCATGATTCTGGGGTCGTGTGATTGAGCCCCACACCAGGCTCCCTGCTCAACAGGGAGTCTGCTTCTCCTGCTTCTCCCTCTGCCACTCCCTTGCTCATTCTCTCTCAAATAAATAAATAAAAGCTTTTTAAAAAATTCAAATTTGATCAAAACTATGAATCAACAGTTCCAAGAAGTTCAACAAAACCTAAGCACAAGAAACATGAACAAAACTACACCAGTGCATATCATAATCAA